GGGAGAAAAAGAGGGAGGGAGGGGGAAGACAGAGAGGGGGGGAGAGTGTGTGTGTGGTCGAGCATTGGAAACTCAACGGCGGATCAGCTATACTATCGGGGCGCCTCTCGCGCCGCTTTGAAATCGCGCACCCCGAACGTCGGCAGCCGCTGCACAGACACATCTACCGCACCACAACATGCACCCCAGACCCCGCCGCCGCCGTCGCCGTCGTTCCAAGAGCTGGAGACGCGTTCCTGGAGCAGCCGAGCGGCGGCGGCCTCAGCATGAGCATGAGCTAGCCTCAGGTGCCGCCCCAGGGAGATATGGCACAAGATGATCGCACTGCGCAGTGACACGCAAAAGCGGAGGGGACGGCCTCGCCTGCCAAACACAGACGAGCGAGTCCGGGGGGGCTAGACCCCGCCGCTGCCGTGTGTGTGTGTGTGTGTGTGTGTGTGTGTGTGTGTGTGTGTGTGTGCCTGTGCACCGCCAACAGACCAACGGCAGACGGCGCGCGGCGTACACGAGACCCTGCGCAGCTACGGACGACGACGACGACGACGCCGACGACGTTGACTCGAAAAACTTTGTCGTGCGCGGCCCGCGCGCCCCCTTTTCCCTTTTTCTTTTTTCATTTTCTTCGCCTGCGAGACCCGACCTTGGCGGAGCGGCGGCGGCGGCGGTCCCCGCGCCCGCGCTCCTCTCCTCTGCCTCGTCCGCTTTGCCAAGAGCAATTTAAATACAATTAAACTTTGAGAAGACGCCTGGCAACCATGCATGGGGGGCGGCGCGCATGGGGGGAAAAACGCGCGCGCCGTCCCCTCGCCGTGTGCCAAGGACCTTCCAGGCGGCCGCTCCCCGCCCCGCCCCTTTCCCATGGCACTATGCCCGGCCGTGGCAGAGAGTCCGTCGTGAGGGGCGGGCGGAGGGCGGGCGGAGCCCCGTCCTCGTTTTGGAAGCCACCCCGAGCCACCCCACCGACGACCTGGCCTGGCCCGGAGTGGCGGGTGGGTGGCGTGGCGTGGCGTGCCCTGGCGCAGCGACACTCATCCCGCTACACGCGCGCCCGCCCCCGGGGCGCGACCTGACGCACCGTATGCGCAGCGGCTCAACCTGAATGGAACGAAACGAAACGCAAACAACAGGAGAGGGGGTCCCTGCGCCAGGTAATGTTGAACTCACAGAAGGTCTCGATAAATTATCATTTTTTATAATTTATTTACAACTATTTTTGTATAAAACACAACAATGTATCATGAAGTGACAACAACGACATGACTGCTTGACTGCCTTAGCTGGTGTATGGTTTCACAGGCCGTGCCACGGCTCACGTACCCGGCGGGGGTTTGGTTCGTCTGTCTATTGTACGGACGCAGTTGGATAAGCGAATACTGGCAAAAAAGGACAACAACAAAATAACAATGATTTCCCAACTCTCGTCAAACATCCAACTGGGAAGTGCGCGGAAGGCATTTTATTTTAGACAAATGTACAACAGTCAGAGGACGTAATGAGCGACGAAGTATCGATAATTTGAGCAGAACAATAACAGACTTTGGAGCATCGAGCGGGGGGCCAGCCCGGGACAGCCGCCCCGCGCACAAAGCTCGCCCAGTATGTCGCCCACTTCAAGAAAGTGGCTGACATACTGCTTTAAAATAAATACTCTACCTATCTACCTACCTAGATTATAACATTAAAACCTGTATAAACTTACAATTTTAATCCAGATGATGAAGTCAAACATTGCTACACTGAGATTCCTTACACTAAGACACAAAATGGCAGCTTTCTTTATTACAGGACCAATAATAATCGACAGTGTAGAAGGGCTGGATAGCAAAGTCAAGTTTACCTGAGAATATATATTTAAAATAAATTTTAACTGTGACATAAACCAGGTGGTTGTTTAACCCAGCTCACTTATGTAGTTATACTGTACCGCATGCGCGAGTGCGAGCGGGTTGCCTACACGCTCGACCCGTAAGTTAGCGGGGTTAATCAGCCACCTGGTAATATGCGAGGAGTACGTTTTCTTTTTCTTGTGGGGACCAACTGCTTTGTCTTTGAAATTACAGGTGAATTAAGAAAACAGAAATATGCGAATTCATAGAAATAAGTTTCGTTCAAACTTTTAAAATCTTAAATTATCAACGCTTTAAGATTGCAAAGTTGACACTGCCCCGCGCCTCCATCGCGCGCGGTGTGACTACGGCCGGTGACTGGTTGGTCTCCTCCTCGCGCGGTGCCGCAGTGCCGTCAGCGGGAACACGAAGCAGGCCAGGACGGCGAAGGTGGCCCAGAACACGGCCAGGGCGATGGCGGGCCAGGCGAGCGCCCCAGGCTCGGGCCAGAGGGCCGCTTTGGTCGCCGCCGGACCCACGGGGCTCGCAGGGCCCACTGGGCCGGCCAACAAGGCCAACGCGGCCGCGTCCAGGCTGGGCCCGAGCCCGTGGTACTGCAGCGCGGCGGTCACGTTGGGCGGCGGGCACGGCAGTTGCACGATGATGTCCTGGTGTTGCACCTGTAGGGCGGCAGCAAGGCACGTCATCAGACCCACGCACACAGCAGCAGGAGTGCGCCTCGCTGTCTGCACTCACCTGCTTGTTCCTGCACATGATGTTGGCCACGCTAGCGGCCACCACGTCCGACGCGTACTCCCTCCGCACCAGGGTGGGCAGCACCCAGCGCATGGGAGAGCCCAGGGCCGCGTACTGCAGCCAGGGCTCCATGTCCCGCTCGTGCAGCAGCGGGCCCGAGAGCAGCGCCAGCGGCAGCAGCACCAGCCCCGCCACCAGCCCGGCCGCACGCCGCGAGCGCAGCGTGGCGCTTAGCGCCACCAGCAGGGACTGCAAGGCCACCAGGTACAGCAGCGAGTAGCCTATGGGAGAGGAGGGCACGCCGTCAGCTTGCATCACCGTCACCGTCACCGGGTCCACCGCCGCCCCCTGACATGAGCCGCGGACGCGCTACCGACCTGTGTAGATGTAAAAGGCGTTGGGGTCCGTCGCCTGGTTCTGCAGGCCCGTCATGGTGTACGCGGGGACCACGTAGCCCGCCCAGATGATTGCCGACGGCACCAGGCCGTACAGGATCTGGCACAGGATGTACACCAGCCGGCCGTACAGGCGGTCGCGGATGTCGTCCGCCACGGCCCGCCACCAGGTGTCGCCCCAACCCGCCTGCTGCAGCAACAGCGGCCACGGCAGCACCACGAGCATGGCGTACAGGTAGCCGATGCGGTCGCCCAGGAGGAGCTGCGGGTCGGAGGCGGCCACGTCCCACCAGACGACGCCCAGGAAGAGCGACAGCCCCACGGCCAGCACGAGGTGGGCCAGCCAGCGGGAGAGCGCGCCGGGCTGCGCGTACACGGTCCAGCACACGAGCAGCGCCGCGGCCTGCTTGAGCACGTTGGCGGAGCGCACCGAGGGCGGCAGCCCCGCGGGCGCGCCCGGGTCCGACAGCGGCTCCTCGCGCCGCCGGAACACGTCGGCCAGCTGCTCGATGCGTTGGCTCGACTCGAGCATGGCCTCAGCGGACAGGTCGTCCAGCGTCACCAGGTCCACTGCAACACAAGGGAAATAAGGCCGCTGACGTCAGGAACAGGGCCATCGCGGCACCCAGTCAGCGCAGCTGCGCAGCGGCGACACTCACGGTAGTAGTCCGAGGGGTTCTTGTACGACGGGCAGGGGTACTCTGCGCTGGCGAAGTAGGGCAGCATGTCCCGGCGGCGCCCGCAGAACATGAGGCGGCCCTTGGACAGCAGCGCCACGCGCGACAGCATCGTGAAGATCTCGTACGTGGGCGGGTGCATGGTCATGACCACGGCGCGCCCCGTCACGCTGCCCGCCGCGTTGCCCGCCCACTGGCGCAGGAACTCGACGAGGAAGAACGTGTCGAAGATGTCCATGCCGGCGGTGGGTCTGTCCAGCACCAGCACGTCCGTGTCGAGCAGCAGCTGCGCCGCGACGGCCAGCCGCCGCTGCTCCGAGGTGGTCAGCGACCACACCTTGGTGTGGCGCACCTGCTCCAGGCCCAGGTCCTCCACCAGGGCCGCGACCTGAGAGGAAGAGAGAGAGTGTGTGTGTGTCAGAAAGGTAGAGAGCGGTGGGGGTCGAGCCGCGCGCCCGCAGACCCACACGATGCGACCCGCTCGACACGGGCGCGCGACGGGACAGTGGCTTCCCGCCTGGCTCACCCGGTCCTTGGTGTCCGTCTTGGCGCCCTGGTAGCCCGGCTGCCGCAGCCAGTTGGTGAAGTACAGGGTCTGCTCCACGCTCAGGTACGGGTTGAGGGTGCGCTCGCTGCGCACGTACGCCACACGGTTGCTGAGCGACCGCCTGGGCATGCACTGCCCGTTCAGCAGGATGTCGCCGTGCACGCGGCCCGCGAGTCGCGACGGGCAGCCGGCCAGGGTGTCGAGCAGCGCCGTACCCTCCTCCGCTGAAAATGCGATAAAAATATTTTTGTTAGACTTAATCAAACACAATCACATATTTTTAAAGCCAAAGATTAACGATGGGAAAGAACAAATAACCTTGCCCGTGGGCAAAGGCCTGGTAGGTTGCGTGACGGTCCTTACCGGAGGTGGCCATGATAGCCATGAGCTCGCCGCCGCGCACCTCCAGGGAGACGCCTTGCAGGAGCAGCTGGCGCTTGCTGCGCCGCGCCTCCACCTCCAGGCCGCGGACCTGGACAAAAACACAAAATAACAGCATAAAATGAGCGGCGGGTTATTTCTCATACTCAACGCGCGACGCATGGCTGGGTCTGGCTATCTTTTTAGCGAGTTCCCGAGGGAGCGGCCCGGGCTGTGAGGCGAGGCGGGGCAGTGGCGCCGCACGCTACAGGCGACCCTCCTGGCCGAGGCTTTTGGAAATGAAACAAACGCCTCTTACCTGCAGGTGGGGGTAGGGGAACGGGGTGCTCTCGGCGCCGTGGCCCAAGTCGGGCAGGCCGGGGCCGTGGCCGAGGCCGGGCCCGGGCCCCGGGTAGTACGGGTGGCCGAGGTCGGACATGGCGGTGACCTTTGAGGCCGCCCCGTCGTCCAGGTGGGAGTGGGCGGATAGCCCTCGCCTGCTGAGCGCCAGGGAGGCGTGCGACCCCGCCTTGGACATCGGCCTCCTCCTGCAAGCAATCGGGCAAAATCAGACGGTGCAAAGGGCAAGGCCAGCGCAGGCGGTCAGGGCAGGGCAGGGAGGGCAGGGCGTGGCAGGGCACGCCTGGCGCTGGCGCGGGCGCTAACTCCAGGGGACGCCGGCCACGGCCAGCGCCCAGCACCCGCCACAAAGTGCCTCCTCCTGCAGCCAGGACGGCAAGGCCTGCCCGCACGTGGCCGCTGCATGGTTCAAGGCCCCGACACTTTATAGGACCCACAACA